ATTTATTTATTTGACATAGATCATAAGTAGGCAGAGAGGCAGGCAGAGAGAGAGAGGGAAGCAGGCTCCCTGCTGAGCAGAGAGCCTGATGCGGGGCTCAATTCCAGAACCCTGAGATCATGACCTGAGCCGAAGGCAGAGGCTTAAACCACTGAGCCACCCAGGTGCCCCCCTCTCTTACTGCTTTATGGATAAAACACACCTATCACCAGTGGCTCAGGATGCTCAAGTTTTAGCTCACGGGTGGTCTTTTGTTTGTGCTTGGCTTTTTGAGAGTTCCACTATCCCTGCAAACCAACATCACAATTATGTTCTGTGCATAATCTCGTCGTTTTTAGTGGTGCACTGAAAGCACATGGTGCTCAGGTGACCTTGAGCCCTAGGTGATGGTACCTCTTGGATGGTTGGTGGGTGGCAAGAGTCCCTATGTGGAGAGATAGAAGCCTAAGCCAGAAGGCACTGTGGGAGCTTAAAGGATGCGCCCACAGTGTTTTCCAGAAAGCAAACTTGTTAGAAAACTTAAACTATAGCAACTTGAAATACGAACTTGAGGTTCATATACAAGGAGTTGGAGTTGAAGGCTCAAAGAGGACCCTACTGCAGACTGAGCATTTTGTCCCTTGGGGATTATTCTAGTTTAAAATAATGTAATATTCTTACCAAATGCACAGATGATGAAAGGCAACAGGGTTTCTGAAATGTCATAAAGTAGAGTACATTTCCAGAGGTTGTTTTTTTTGTTTGTTTGTTTTGTTTTTTAAATACAGGTTTTAGGGCACCTGAGTGGCTCAGTCAGTTAAGTGTCTTCCTTCGGCTCAGGTTATGCATGATTCCAGGGTCCTGGGATTAAGTCCCACATTGGGCTTCTTGCTCAGCAGGGAGTCTGCTTCTCCCTCTCTCTCTGGCCCTCTCCCTGTTCATGTTCTCTCTCAAATAAATGAATAAATAAATCTATTTTTAAAATAACAGGTTTGGGGGCACCTGGGTGGCTCAGTGGGTTAGGCCTCTGCCTTCGGCTCAGGTCACGGTCTTGGGGTCCTGGGATCGAGTCCATCGGGCTCTCTGCTCAGTGGGGACCCTGCTTCCTCCTCTCTCTCTCTGATGACTGCCTACTTGTGATCTCTCTGTTAAATAAATAGATGAAATATTAAAAAAAAAATAAAAAATAACAGATTTCAGGGGCACCTGGGTGGCTCAGTTGGTTGAGCATCTGACTCTTGGTTTCAACTCAGGTCATGATCTAGACGCTGTCTAAGTTGTAACTGTATTTGTAATTGCCCAAATGCAGGGTAATAGGTAGGTAGGCATTTTTAAAGTTGGGATTGAAAGTCTGGATTGGTGTTTTTCCCCATAAGCCAGTCATATTATGATGTCTCTAGGAAGTGACAGATGTGTGGTATGCCCAAGTTTATCACATCAAGCCACAATGCACTGTACTTTTCTGAGTATAAGGTATGATATCCTGGCTTGATCAGGAGCCTTTTATTTTCGTCTGCTGGAAATTTACTGAACCTATGCAGTTTCAAGTACTGGGGTAACAAGGAGATTTAAGATGTCTTCACTGGGTATAGTCCAAAGCTGATGTTTTTAACATAAATAACAATGTAAGTTTTAAGTGGAAAAGAGAGGGGGAAGCCTGGAATGACAAGTTGGGCCTTGTAGTGGTATAGAAGGCATCTTCTGGAAAAAGATCAATTGCCCAGGTTAGCTGGGGCTGACAGGGAAGTTGTGGACATTGAGTTTTGGAACGATCCAGCTTTACCAAAGTTTATGTGTACTTAAATTCCACCACAACCACCTGTCTGGGGACATAGACATTTTCCGGGAGAGCTGAAATAAGAATTTTGAATCAGCTCAGTAAAATTCGTTTGGGAAAAGGAACCTGACAACTTTGTATAAGGAGAACTGAAGAGAGGCTGACTCGACAAGGGCCTTGACCAGAGTAGGAAGGCCTGGAAGTACTGTTTGACTTTCAGTCAGCATCATGCACAGGTTTGATGTTTTTTTAATTAAGAAAAGAAAAGCATGGGACAAAAATGGGTTATTTTATTATGCTGGAAATTCTTTTAAATGCGAATAAGCATTTGCATTAGTTTTTTTTTCTCCTTTACGCCTTTGGATGTATCTTTCCTGGGGTGGCTTTGTCTTGCAAAGGGCGACTGTACCTCCCTTCCCTTCTGACACTGGGTTTCCATCTGTTCCAAAACTGGAGACTCTGGGTTCATGCGAACCCTCAGCCTTCCCAGACTTAAGAGAGTAGATCTCAGGAGCACCTGGGTGGCTCAGTTGGTTAAGAGACGGCCTTTGGCTCCGGTCATGATCCCAGAGTCAGCAGGGAGCCTGCTTCTCCCTCTCCCGCTCCCCCAGCTGATGCACATGTTCTCTCTCTCTGTCAAATAAGTAAATCTTTTAAAAAAGAGAGTAAATTTCACCTTAGCCTGCCATCGGTGAAGGGGTATGCTTGTGTGGGAAGAAACAGAAGTTGAAAATTAGGGAATAAAGCTAGACCAAGAAAATCTTTAATGCCTAATGTAACTAGCATCTTTGGGGAATGAGGTCCCAGGTATAAGTGATTTGGTAAACAGACAACATACACTCTTGGCTGACTTGTACTCTTTTTTCACGAAACTTAACCACATCCGAATGTTGGTCACTCCTCTGGGGAAGTTCCTCCTCCTTTTGCTTCTGTCACATGTGGTGTTGCTCTTCCATGTTGCCACTTTTCTACACCTGCTCCTTCCTCCTCCCGCTCGGTAAGTGACCTGATCACCCTTAATGTTTCAAAACCGAATTCTGGAAGAGTGCGGATGCTGTAGAAGCAGGAAGGGCAGGAGGAACCATTTTCACTAATGATGTCTTACTGAGAAGCCAGGCGGTGACAGGGGGAAGAGGCAGGTGGAGAAAAGGCCCCAGAACTGCAGAGCACGAGTCTCCAAGAGTGGCAGTTGCCTTTAGCAACGGGAGACCCTTTGAGTGGACCCGGTTGGCTGCACCACACACCACTTGGCGTGTGGCGGTGGCTACATAGCGGGGTTGCGGTGGCTCAGAGGTGGTGGGAATGTGGGCTCGGAGGCGGTGACAGCAGGCGAGCAGTGTCATCGAGGGTGCCGTAAAAATTGGGCGATTTTCTTTGCAAGTTACTAGGGATAAATGGAGGGTATAAATTGTTTTTTAATGCACTGTGTTATAACTGTTCGAAATTAATTATTGGCTTTAATAGTCAGCATTTCAGGACTCTAGGCCAGAGTGGCATGTTAAGCTGTCTTTAGAAAACATGGCCTATGAAAGGGAGTCAGAGAACTTCATCCTTTGGCAGATCTATTCTCAGTGACTTAAAAATGAAGCTGCTTACTCATAAACTTTTCTTTCTCCAGAACATTATATGGTAACTCTAAGAGTACAGATTAGACTCTTTTGGCAAAATACAAGTATCATTTTCCCTTCTGATATTAAGCTAACTCAGAAGTTCTTTTTAAACACCCCCCACAACTTGTCAATTGATTTAAATTATAAGAGTTTCATATTCCATAGAGTTTGGGAATTTAGTGTTACGGTTATATCACCAATGACCTTAAATAATAAATATAACGTGTACATTTGTGATCTACTCTTCTTGAGTCTCTAACTCAGGCCAAGAGCCACAGTTCCTGAGGGCTTTAAGAAATGTTCACAAGGCCTGCTTATGCATGACTAAGAAGTTTCCTATTAGTCCAGCCAGTGTTAGTCTAGCGACAGCTGAATTCAAAAACATTAATCTACCTTTTATGCTTCCAGGTCTCTAGTCTCTCCCAGGTGGGTCATCAGAGCCTCATATGAAATAAGGCTGTTCCGTCAACTTTGTGTTTCCTACTAACGTTCAGAAAAATCCTTTGATTACTTCGGGGCAGAGTAAATACACACACGCCTGAGACCTCCGCGTACACGTGGGGCAGTATGAGGATCGGGCAGGCCCTAAACCCACACATGCCTGTGCTGGTGTCCCTGCACCAAAGCGTCCGCTCCTGTGATCCCCGACACGTGGCTGAACGTCCCTCAGCCTCCGCATCACCTGCTTTCCTTGTGTATCTCTTACTTTTAGAAGTAATTTTCTTATTACAAGACGATTACACAGTTATTTATTTAGCTTTACGAGCCTTAAAGTGGGGGCAGTAACAACAGAAATCATACATTCCGTGCCTCGAGTTGGGTCCGGCCTGTGTTAGGCACTGAACAAAAGTGTGTCTGTCACGGTGACTTGTCATTTTGTTCTATGTCTGGCTGGTACGGTATTTTATTACGAAGACCCTGGAAGCCAACTGGTTGACTTTTGTCAAGTTTTAAGAGAAAGCAAGTGTCCTCTAGTCTGCTAGCGTCTCCATGGGCCTGAGGTGAGGTCTGTCTCCTTACAGGCCGCAGTTCGGCAGCCCTCCAGATGACTTGCTGTGTCCGCATCCTGCGGCAGACTCTCCGAGTGATGAAGGGGCTCTCCTGGACCAGCTCTATCTGGCCCTGCGGAACTTCGATGGCCTTGAGGAGATTGACAGAGCGCTCGGGATACCCGAACTGGTCAGCCAGGTACGTGCCGCGGGGCACTGGTGGGGGCCCAGTACTCTTGTGGGCACAAGATTGTCCATTTTCTTCTGTTTATGTTGATCTGCAGTCTGCTTCTTAGAGTGCTGCTTTACCTCCTAACAAACTAACTCTGTTTTCTTTCTTGCCCTCCTTGTTACCGTCACATAAACTTTTGCCAAGGATGGAAAACACTGAAAATGTGCTTTACATATAATTTGGGTTATTGAGCTGAAAGGCAGAAAGTCAGGGCCGGCTCACCTGATGACAGGGAGAGACCCGCGAGGAGCAGAGAACAGGGAAGTCAGGAATGGAGCATTGCTGCCCCAGTGACCTAGAACCCTTTCTTCTAAAAAACCAGTCCGTATCCATGATCATCTTATTCAGTCTTTACGTTTGTGGGCTGGTGATAGGAAGCTCTTATGCTGAACGAATACTTTGCACGTAAGTTAGCAGAAGTCATTTTAGAAGTAGCTGCAGTTCATTAGTCATTTTTACCTTTGTGTGGGTTGAGCCCACAGTAATTTGGGGGATATTTAAGCATAAATGGGAATATAAGGGAGTTAACCAGTCTTAATGTGCTTATTTAGCTTTCCTCCTCCCGACAATTAGTTGGTTCAAGTAATTCTCTGCTTTAAAGAGTACTTTATAGCAATAATACAGTAAACCTCACGCAGTCTCATGCAATAGCACCGTATTTTCTGTATCTGGCTACTCGGCTAACCGTGCGCGAAGCAGACCTCCTGATTCACTTTGTAAAGCGTATCAACAGCCACAGATTTAAAAAAACGATCGCAGTCTCGGTACCATCTTCTTTTTTCAGCACAAATCGTCTTTATTTCTTACTGTTGAAAAGGACCTTCCCGTGTCCACCCTCCTTCTCGGGCACGTGGCGTGTCAGGAGGGTCTGTGTGAAGGCGACACAGCCAGCAGAGCTTCTCCAAAGCACAGAAACAGTATTGTCATCACGCCGCCGTGCAGCAGACGGGGGCGGGGTGAAGACTTGTCAATTCATATCGAGAAGAGCAGAATGGAAAGAAATGACTGGAGAGGTTACATGATATAACCTGAAGTAAATCGAGAAAGGAGCATGGAATTTAAATATTTCCTGTGTGGCCAGCTGGCTCTGCTTTAGCGGTAGTTAGAAGTCGGCCTCGTCGGTATCGTTATCCTCAGGTTTGCTCCAAGTGACATTTAAAAATATGGCTGTTGGGATTGCTGAGCCACCTGTAGCATTGTTCTTGTCAAAGCTAGTGTCATTTCATCATTAATATTTTTAGTCTCCTTTATCTCTTTGTCTTCTATTTTGTCTCATCACATCTGTCGCGAGTATAGTAATATCATATTAAACTGAATTACAGAAACATTATTCAGTGGAGTCAGGAAATGGAGAGTACAAATGGATTTATTTGTACACGTCAGAGTTGTGTGTTTTCTTTAAAAAGGGAAATTATTGGAGCACTTGAGTGGCTCAGTGGGTTAAGCGTCTGCCTTTGCTCAGGTCATGATCCTAGAGTCCCTGGCTCGAGCCCCTCATTGGGCTCCATGCTCAGTGGGGGAGTCTGCTTCTCCCTCTTTTTTTCCTTCTGCTTGTTTTCTCCCTCTCTCTCTGTCAAATAAATAACAAATTTTTTAAAATCTTTAAAAATGGAAATTATATAATTAAATTTCTTCTTGGGGCACCTGGGTGGCCCAACCATTAGGCATCTGCCTTTGGCTCAGGTCATGATCCCATGATCCTGGGATCGAGCCCCACACTGGGTGCCTTGCTCGGTGGGAGGCCTGCTTCTCTCTCTCTCGCTCCCCCTGCTTGTGTTCCCACTCTCGCTGTGTCTCTGTGTCAAATAAATAAACGAAATCTTTAAAAAAAAATTAAATTTCTTCTCTGTTAAAGATGGGCAAATATTTAAAGTTCTGAGATAGTTTTGTAGGTGTGGTTAGAGCAGTAATTCAATAATGAATGGTTTCCCCGGGGTAGGTTCCATCCACATTTTTTCAGGAGAAGGCAGCGGCCCCAGGCTCCTGCTCTACCTTGGATAGACTGGTCTGAGTGAGGCCTAGGACATGACTAAGCTGAAGAAAACTCAAAGAGATGCCTTTCCTTCCCTCCTTACATCTGGAGGTTTGGAGCAATCCACCCAGAAGTAGAAGGAAGAGAACTCCCAGGTGCTCCTTCATGCCCTAGACACAGACACTGAGACGCTCCCCCTGGCATTAGTTCTGGATTTTCTACACCTGTCTCATTCTGATCCAGATAGATAAGGCAGCCGTAAGAAGTCAAGAACAGCAAACACATCAGATATGTCTAGGAGGTAGTAAGATGGGGGCCAACTGTGGAGAATTCTGTCGGCCATGGAAGACAGTTACACCAGGGCAGTATATCGCGCTGGCGAGGAGCTCGGGCGCTGTCTCACAGCCGGAGGGGGCCCAGCGCTTACCTAGCGGGAGGGGCCCGCGGCCGCTTGCCTCTCCGCTGCAGGTCTCGGCGTTTGATAGCTGCAAAGTAGGAGTAACGGTGGCGGGCGCCCCAACATAACAGATTACAGCTAGGCTCCAGGGTGGTTGTCTGACTAAAATGATCGATGCAGGAATGAAAAATGAGCGAGAACATGGAACACTTCTAGGGGACACGCACATTTTAAAGTCCAGGTCAGTCTCTGACTGGCGAAGTGAGGAGGAAGAGTTGCGAGGTCGAGGCCTCGTTCTCGCTTCCTTTGGAAGAAGCATCGCTGGGAGTCCGGGCCAGCACCGCTTCTGTCCTCACACACAGGGGTGTGTTGAACAAAGATACTCTTTAGGAGGAAACCAGGTACCTTGAGTCGTAAGTGAGGATAGAAAGCTTCAGCTATGTGACCGTGAGAGAAACTCACCTGATGTTGACTCTGCTGTTTCCAGTAGTTTTCCTTACTTGTCTGGGTCGTGTCTGGGCTTTCTCTGCAGAGCCAGGCAGTCGATCCAGAGCAGTTCCCAAGTCAGGACTCGAACATCATGCTGGAGCAGAAGGCCGCCGTTTTCCCGCAGCAGTATGCGTCTCAGGCACAGATGGCCCAGGGGAGCTATCCTGCCATGCAAGACCCAAGCTTTCACAGCATGGGCCAGCGGCCGAGCTACGCCACACTCCGCATGCAGCCCAGACCGGGCCTCAGGCCCACCGGCCTGGTGCAGAACCAGCCAAACCAGCTGAGACTCCAGCTGCAACACCGTCTCCAGGCCCAGCAGGTGCGCTCTCGGGGGTGCCTGGGAAGGTGGCAGCTGGGGGGCAGTTAGGCACGAGAGGGCATAACCATCCTGTGTCCTTGGGAAGTGCTGGAAGCCCTTCCAGGATGCTCCTACATCTCCTGCTCTTGCCTGCTTTGCCGGTTTCTCTTCTGTCCCCTCAGCTAACTCCACTCCAGCCCGGAGTAGCTGTCCGTCTGTTTCAGTGTTTCCCAGCCCTGTTATTTATTAACAGTGTAGCCTTGAGCTCTCCGAGCCTCCATTTTCCTGTCTGTAAAATGGGGCTGTTGTGTGGTGTTGCACAATGAGTACGTGAGTAAAAGGACCTCACGTGGTTTCTAACCCAGTGTGAGCCCGCAGGACAACAGTAGCTCCAGTCCAGAGTCCTGCCGCGTGACAGAAATAGTCACTCTTGGCTGAATGGGGACAGAGCAGTGCTGCCTTATGGAACACCTCGATAGCTCAAGCACATGCGTTCTCATTGAAACAAGCCTAGACAGATTTCCAGCAACAGTCCAAAATACCTTCTCTGTTTAAGCAATGTGAAATCTTACTGATAATTAGCTTTCTAAGGGAATTCCACCGTAAACTATGTGGTTTCAGTATCTAATGGCAATCAGAGGTTACATTGGGGAGGGTGATCTCTCAAGAAAAGTGATTTAAAATATACGCTGTTTTAAAAATGTATTGATTCTTCTGTGTGCATGCATTTAGAATCGCCAGCCGCTTATGAATCAAATCAGCAATGTTTCCAACGTGAACTTGACTCTGAGGCCTGGAGTACCAACACAGGTAAGGAGCCGGCCAGCTGTCCGCTTTCACGGCCTCTGTTGATTTTCTGTCATTTCTTCCTCCTTGATATTCGGTGCAGAGTCACTCAGAAGCCATCTGACCCAGATCAATGCCATGGATCTGTCGTGTCATTCACATGTCCATCTCGCCTGCCCCCCTTTTTAAAAAAAAGATTTACTTATGTCAGAAAGATAGAGCAAGCTAGCATGCATGCTTAGGAGAGGAGCAGAGGGAGAGAGAAACTCAAAGCAGACTCTGAGCTGAGCTCAGAGTCCAGCATAGGGCTTGACCTCATGACCCTGAGATCTTGACCCAAGCCAAAACTAAGAGTCGGGTGCTTAACCGACCGTGCCATCCAGGCACCCCAGCCTGTCACTTTTGTAGTTCCCTCCTAAACACTGCCATTTTCACTGCCAAGTACAGTCGATTCTCAGTATTTACTTTGGTCGTGTTCCATAAAGTTAACGCAGACACTGAATTAGCGAACTGGAGAAAGGGTTCGGTTCCCGCTGGCCTGTGGTGATGACATCGTCCTCAGTCCATCAGTACAGAACCCTGTTTCTCATGTGTGTTTGGGTTTGAAGACACTTTATGTGATACGTACTGATGATGCGCTACCTTGAACTCAGAGACAGCGGTGCTATGACTCTTCCCTGATCAGCAAAGCTCATCTAACCCGTGTTTTCCCCAGAAGGCACGTCACAGCCTCTCGCTGTTAGAAATGCGAGGCGGTATGGGGCGCCTGGGTGGCTCAGTGGGTTAAGCCTCTGCCTTCGGTTCAGGTCGTGATCTCAGGGTCCTGGGATCAAGCCCCGCATCGCATTGGGCTCTCTGCTCAGCAGGGAGTCTGCTTCCTCCTCTCTCTATGCCTGCCTCTGCCTACTTATGATCTCTGTCTGTCAAATAAATAAATAAAATCTTAAAAAAAAAAAAATGAGGCGGCACTTGAGCACTCCTCTTAGGAACCATTGTAAACAGCAGGATCACCGGGGAAAAGCACGACAGATTGAAAAACGTGGATCTGAAGAGTCCACGAAAAGGGCACTTCTTTCCAGTGTGAGGCTGAGACAAGAAGGCAGTGTTGCCTTGTTTCAGCCTCTGGTGGGAACGATACGCACCTTGGACATGTCAAGTTCTTTGCCTCTCTGCACATGTCCATAAATGACGGCAGTGCTGTGAATACTGAGTTGGGGGTTACAAATAAATTTTAGCAAGTAGGTAAGTTCACCAGTATGGAATCCATGAATGATGAAGATTGATTGTGCATCGCTAGGACCCCATAAACGGCCTTATTCCTCTTGCTGGCAGCAAGCACTGGCACCCCTTCCCTGCATCCATCCCTCCTTTCCTCCTCCTCGTTCTGCCCTGGACTGTTTTGTATGTCCCTATTAACCCCCTCTCCCTATACTCCCCACTTTCTTCCTGCCTCCATTCAGCCTTTTCCAAAGTGCCTCAGGCCACATTTTGGCACAGATGGTTTGGTTTCCTGTTAGACCTGAATGTCCCTTGAATGAGACCCAGGTTGCCACTTTAAGGTTTCTATGACATTCGTCTTACAGATAGCACTGATGTTGTGGGGTCCTTCCCGTTAACCATGCCTCTCACGGTGAGTTCCTGGTTACTTGAACTAACAGTGAACGTACCCTTCTAAGTCATTGCAGGGTTTCAGAAAAATCCTCATCTCTATAGAATTTAGAAGCTCACATCCTCACCCACCAACTGTTCACCTCTAAAATGTTCTTTCCTGTTATTTTATTTTCCAAATGATTTTGTCCTATTTCTAATATATAGTTTGTTTTTCAACGTGTGTCTTCCCCCAATGTTTCCCTCTGTGTACTCCCCACCTCGCCCCTATTTTAGGCACCGATTAACGCACAGATGCTGGCCCAAAGACAGAGGGAAATCCTGAACCAGCATCTTCGACAGAGACAGATGCATCAGCAACAGCAAGTTCAGCAGCGAACGTTGATGATGAGAGGACAAGGGTTGAATATGACCTCAAGCATGGTGGCTCCTGGTGGCTTACCAGCAACTCTGAGCAACCCCCGGATGCCCCAGGCAAACGCGCAGCAGTTTCCGTTCCCTCCGAACTACGGTACTGGGCTTCCATCCCCACCACCTTTCACCAGTCCTTTCTCCCCAGTGTCCCCGGGTCTTGGGTCTCAGCCCCGCCCTCACAGCTGTTTGCATGGCTCCCAGATGAGTCTGGCTAACCAGGGAGTGATAGGCAACCCGGGAGGACAGCTGGGGCCAGTCAGGAGCCCCCAGGTCCAGCACAGTACCTTCCCGTCTCTCAGCTCAGGTACCGCCTTTTCTCCGAACGCAGGTCTTACTTTAAAAGTGACCGAAGTAAGTGTGTGTATATACAGTCCTTCGGTTGTGTGTGTGAGTGTGTGTGAATACACGTGTTTCTGTCAGCGTTTGGACTCATGGGGGCATAGCCATGTGCTATGTTTGAAAACCTCTGAGTCTGACTCAAATCAACAGATAACGTACAAAATGTTGAAAGACCTATATAAATACAACAATTAGACATTCTGTAATTTTTGAAAAAAAGATAAAGCTTTAATGAATCGATAATTTGTGAGAGGTGTTATCTAGAAACCCCAGTGGAAGGCCTCTAGTTTTTCTTCATGTTGATTTGTTATTTAATGTCAGTCTTAAGAGACAGATGTCCGATGTCATAAACATTAATATTTGTGTGCATGTCATGTTCGATGAATGGTTAAATTATTGATAAAAGTAAGTGCTTATGTTGTTCCTATTCGAAATGATTTTACCTATCTTTTGCCAGAATTATCTATAAATATCAAGTCTGTGTGGTGCTTACATTCATGTCTCCTGTTTCTTTAAAGAAGCAGATACTGTGCAGCTTTTTCTGTGTAATCATAAACTTCTCTTTCACAGCTAATCCAAGTATCAATTAAATCTGCATGTTGCACACATCTAGGCAGAAACACACTTCCCTTACTGTCCTTGAAATTTCCTGAGTTGCTGCCTTTGTTTCGAAGCTCCTTTCCTCTATGTCCTTTTTGTTGACTTCGAAAAGTCTTCTGAAAGTTCTTTCTTTCCTTGTAGCGTAAATGCCATTCGCTTCTACACTGAACAAGAAGCTTACATAGAATTTGTCTGATTCTTGCTCATCTTAGATAGCACTGAAGAACCATAGAGCCCTTTCTAAAGACAAAACAAGCTAATCGTGATGCAGTTACTTGTTTTTAAAAATGCATTGATTTAATCACAGAATGACTTGATTCAATAAAAAATTATTCAGGTGTTAACTTTTTATATACAGCTAAACTTTAATCTTACCTAAAGTTTATAAATAACCCAGTTATACTGATACATAAAAATGTAAAGACTATTTCAGGTAAAAGAGAAGTATACCTGTTGACTCATTCTTGATTTGGAGAGGGATAAGGGGACGGAACAATATATTCTCCATCTCTAGTCATGGTGGTTAACGTGGTTCTTAGGCACCCTTGTGACCACTGTAGAGAAGTAAGATATGAAAATTTCTTGCTTCATGAATTATATCCCATTTTGGAGTCTCTATAAGGTGTATATAATTAACCAGCACATGATCAGGTATTTGAAAGTAATTTTCTATGTGTATGTGAATTTGAACGTTCTCTTTTTTTTCTCCCTAGTCTCTACCATAACACTAACAATCTCTTTCCAACTTCTGTTTTGTTTTTGAAGGAATAAGTCAGCAGCCTGATCCAGGCTTTACCGGGGCAACGACGCCCCAGAGCCCTCTGATGTCGCCTAGAATGGCGCATACCCAGAGCCCCATGATGCAGCAGTCTCAAGCAAATCCAGCCTACCAGGCCTCCTCTGACATGAACGGGTGGGCGCAGGGGAATATGGCTGGAAACAGGTATGCCATGTTTATGTGGCATTTTGATATAAATGATCACCAGGGAATCTTTCTGTAGACCACCTGTCTCTTTCTGTATTTTTTTTTTTTTTTAACTAAGTAAGCTCTATGCCCAAGAGGGGCTTGAACTCACAACCCTGAGATCAAGACTCACTTATTCTATGGACTAAGCCAGCCAGGTGCCCATCTTTTCTGTTTTTTTCTTAACTTTTTGCTCAAGCAAGCAGTGTCAAATAAACTACTAAGTAAGGAGGTTTACTTTTCCTAGGGCAGAAGTTACCAGAACTTACAAAAGCTTAGCATATCTTTTCCTTAGGAATGAAAGGAACTCCCCTCAGAAGGTATCACCCCACCAGTTTAAGCTGGAAACTACTCTGGATGGCAGAGCCCTAGAAGCCATCCTTTATCAGTACATGTAATAAAAGCAACCAGATAAAAAGCTTGTTAGGTGCAGACGTGAAAGTGGAAACTAGATCTCTAGACCTTCCCAGTGATGTTAGGAAAAGGAGAGGAGCGTGGTCACCCCTGCAGCTTCCTTGAGCACTTCCCCTTACCATTTCGGACTTCACCCCTGCTGGCTGCCCCGCCCTGGATTCTTTCAGCCTAGACTGACTCGTTCTGAAGTAAATGAAGTAACTGCCTGAGAAGCCAGCGCTCAGAACTGCCTGCCTGTTTGACCTACAACTCTTGACATTTTCATCTTTTCCTTGGGTTCTAGCATGTTTTCACAACAGTCCCCACCACACTTTGGGCAACAAGCAAACACCAGCATGTACAATAACAATATGAACATCAGTGTATCCATGGCGACCAACACAGGTGGGATGAGCAACATGAACCAGATGACAGGACAGATCAGCATGACCTCAGTGACCTCCGTGCCTACGTCAGGGCTGTCCTCCATGGGTCCCGAGCAGGTGAGCACCCTGAGAAGCAGCCCACTGTCTTCTGATCCAAACTTTTTGCCTATTTCTGCACTCAGTGTATCTTGCCATGTACTTAACATCTACCATCAACTCCCGCTTTTATTTTAATGAGTGTTTCCTCACCTTACTTTCACCTGTGTTAGTGCCATTAACAGAAATACTTGTTAATGACGAAATAAACATGAAAGGCTTCTTGACTGCTCAAGGATATTTGAAAGTACTTCTTAACTTTGTCACTTAAAGTATTTGAGGAACTTAGCAATCTCTAAAGTGAATCTCTAAAAATGGAATGGTAAATGTGCTTCCTAAATGGCTTTATTTTGGATTTAAGCTTAAGAACTGATTTTCTTCTAAATGAAAAATCAGAAGAATCGCAAAGGCCGAACTTAGCTGCCTGCCATCCCGTTAGCTTTATTCCCCACTCCATCCCCCGCCCGGTCCCCATCCAGTTAGCTTTAAATGACACATCATGCGTGCAGGGAGACTGACACCGGTCATCCAAAAACTATTCTAATCATCATCTTGAGGATGTGAGCGCCATAATTTTCTGGCCAGTATTTTTAAAAGGCTTCTGCTTGAGACTGTAATTCTGACTAAGGCTGTAGTGATTCTACTATCCCTAAGAGCACACCAACTTCACTTGGTGGCAGAGAGACTCAGCACACTGTTACCTCCGTCAGCCGGGAATTCAGAATCTGAGGCAGCTGAGCCACAGGTAAAAATACCAGTTGGTAATTTTTAAATCGTATTTATAGAAGACTTCTTTCTAAAGGGCACAAAATGGCTTGGCATTCTGCTACCTCAGTAGTTCATGCAAAGTAGAGATGTGGCAAGGACCCTGAGTGTTACTTCATATATGGAGAAATCGAGGCATGGAGGGTTTAAATGACTTAGTAAGTCACTGACAGAACTGTATATTCCAGTTAGATGATAATTGTGAGAATGGTGAAAGATTCACAGTTTGATTAGGTCTATTTAATCTGATGTTGGTAAACCACAATTTGTGTGAAAATTTTACTAAATTTTACAGCACCTCAGCATTTTATTCTATAAGAAGATGTTAATAAAAATGCAGAGTAGTGCATGAGAAAATTCAAAGCCCTTTGCAATTTAAGAAAGCTCTGTGTGTGTAATAATTTGCACTTCTTGTAGTTGAATTGATGGTGGCTAAATGCTTACTTGGGTAAATTAAACAGACCATAATTAAAGATAGACTCTTAATCGTTTCAGTGGAGAAAACATGGTGTTGATTTTGCATTTTCTACAAAAAGGAACCAGTAGTGGTTCCTGATTCTCTTTCTAGGGAAACTGTAAAGCCAGGGCCACTGACATAGTCTAGTCTAGCATGGGTCCTACTCAGCCTATCTGGAAGTAAACTGGTGCATTTTTAATAACCCAGATCACTTCTGTATAGAAACTTGTGCATCGATTTAAACCTTTTGAGTATCAGAATTAATTTGAGAAGCCAAAAAAATACAACTGTAGTGTGTTTCTTCAGACAAAATCAGTCCTATACAGTATTAGTATTTGTACCTTTACTAATTGTATGAATGCTAATGAATAGTTCACTTGGTTGTAGAAGATTTCCCAAATTCAGCACTGTTGGGTACTCAGAGTTGCTCTTGCTAATCAATAACTAACTTAAATAGCAAAGATACTAGGAGCTTCTCAGATGACTTTAAAGTCCCATATACGAGTCATTAGAATCATTAGAACCAGCCAAAAAGGTGAACATATTAAGGCATGAAAATGTTTCTAGTATTATTGTCTCTGTCAAATTTCTTCACAGTTCTTTTGAAGGCAGTTAGTGTGACTTTCATTTTCTTGTTCCTCCATACTCCCCCCACCCCCAAGTCTATACGTGGGAGAGTGGATACAGGGATGGAGCTGTTTTTATATAGTCCTCTTTCTCCATAATTCTGTTCCTAAAAACCAAGACAAGGAGGAAGATTGATGGTTGGTTTTTCCCTAGTACACTTTTGGACGTGCCACTGAAGGTAGCCACTGTGCTGTCTTGTGCCCTCAGGTTAATGATCCTGCTCTGAGGGGAGGCAACCTTTTCCCAAACCAGCTGCCTGGAATGGATATGATTAAGCAGGAGGGAGACACATCACGGGTAAGAAATAGCAAAGGGTGAATAGGGTAGTAAAGTGAACGTGGGTATTTTATAGACCCAAACTGGCAGATACATTGTCAGCAAGTAGACTGAAGATAGTTGTAACGCTTGTGATTTTGAAAAATACCTTGTAATTTTATCTGGCATACAGTGGTTTTCTATGAATAATTATTTCTTTAAGTTCATTTTAATTGAGCTAATGGTGGTGTTATGAATTAAGAACACTAATTTTGCTCTGAAATGATATTATGATAGCCAAAAAAGCAGTCACGTTTGAGCAAACTTTTATTTTTACTTTTTCTGAATCATGATGTTAGATCTTGAGGAGGATGAAGAGGAGCTAATTGTTCTCTATCCCTTAATTAAGTGTATGTTTATTGTTCTTAAGGGTTTTCTCTATATTTCATTTTGTTTGGGCAATAGTCATGTATATTATTTGTCTATTATCTTCAACACTTGTTCTAAAGAGAATGATATTACCGGGTTCAATCAAATCTTTAAAAAGAATAATTGGTACTTAGAACCCAACTGAATTGTGTGCCTAGCAGCAGATCCGTTAACAGGAAGGCTCTGGAAGCAGTTTAGCACATAGATAAATGAGCCCACAGGGGCCCTCTGAAGCTAAGGGATATAATCCTTAGCAGTAGATAACTTTTTTTTAAGTTAAAAATTCTCTCTCAGTGGAGAAAATGTAGGATCAATGTTCAATTTCCTACAAAAGAAGTGTATCTTGGGTGGTTTTGTTAATACCCAAGTTTAAACAGTAATAGATCCATTGGGCGCTTGGGTGTTTCAGTCATTAAGCATCTGCCTTCAGCTCAGGTCATGATCCCAGGTCCTGGGATGGAGCCCCGAGTCAGGCTTCCTGCTCAGCGGGAGGCCTGCTTCTCCCTCTCCCACTCCCCCTGCTTGTGTTCTTCTCTCACTATATCTCTTTATCAAATAAATAAAATATTTTTAAAAATAAGTAAAATAAAATTAATAGATCCAGGGGCCTGGGTAGCTCAGTTAAGCATCTGACTCTTGACTTTGGCTCAGGTCATGATCCTAGGGTCATGAGATCGAGCCCTGAATGGGGCTCCCTGCGCAGCAGGGAGTCTGCTTCTCCCTCTCACGTCCCCTTCCTGCCCCCACTCATGCGTGCACACATGCGCACTCTCTCTCGCAAATAAGTAAAATACTAAAAAAAAAAAAAATAGAACCATAGTCGGGGCACCTGGGTGGCTCAGTGGGTTAAAGCCTCTGCCTTCATTCAGGTCATGATCCCAGGGTTCTGGGATCGAGCCCCCCATCGGGCTCTCTGCTCAGCAGGGAGCCTGCTTCCTCCTCTCTCTCTCTGCCTGTCTCTCTGCCTACTTGTGATCTCTGTCAAATAAATAAGTAAAATCTTAAAAAAAAAAAAAAATAGAACCATAGTCATGCATTGCAGAGAGGCCCATGGGTGGGGAGTTCTATAGATGTTTTCTGCAAGTACCCAGATACACAATTCATCTAAATGGTTAATGTTGCTATAGTGAATCATATAGAAAATAGAATATATTTCATATTGGCCCTGTGTTTAAACTCTAAATGTGCCATTTATTGAAGTGTGAAGCCCTTTACAGGGCTGCCATCTTCTTGCTGTCAGTCCTGCCTCCCCACCCCACCCCTACCCCACTGCACTTCTACAGAGAGTGGCCACATAACCCACTGATGCCTTGTGTGCAGAAAGTAGATGCTTAAAACCTAGGATGGCACTTCCCAGAGGAACAATGACATTAGTATAATTAGGCGTCCACTGAAGGATAGCCCATTTTAACCTAGAAGTGCCAGGGAGCTTAACCTCTGGGCACATTGAAGCTCTGTGGGAGGAAGAAAGCATTTGGGGCCAGGATCACATTTTCCTCCCTGAACCCACCACCACAGGATGAGACCTCCCTCCAGCCACCTTCAGTGTGATTATGTGCCAGCCTAGGCCAGCACCCCCACAAAGCAGGCACTCATTGTCTTTTTTGTTTGTTTGTTTAAGATCTTATTTATTTGTCAGAGCACAAGCAGGGGGAGTGGCGGGCAGAGGGAGAAGTAGACTCCCCGCTGAGCAGGGAGCCCCACTCAGAGCTTGATCCCAGGACCCTGGGATCATGACCTGTGCCAAGGGCAGATTCTTAACCAACTGAGCCCACCCAAGCATCCTCATAGTCTTTCCAGAAACAACCAACAGGTATTGAGCATTTACCACAAGCATGATTGTCTGCCAAGGGCTTGGTTTAAACTAGATCACTTAAACCACATCACAACCGTACGGCATAACTACTGTTTTGAGGGTTTCATGACTTTCCTGAGGTTCTGTCACACCAAGAAGGGAACCCAGGCAGGCTGACCCCAAAGGGTGCATTCCCAGTCCCTGCACTCTACCTCCCACTTCCCCAAAGGGGACACAGAGCTCCCGTGATACCTTTCTAAAGGTTTTATGCAAGTAACATTGGAGAAGGCTCCCAAAAAACAAATTGGTTGCTTTTCCTTTCTCTCATTTTATAGATCCTAAAGGGAAAAGAAGCCTTCCCACATTCTGTAGGACAGGCAGACAGTGAATATTCAGCTCCATGTTGAGAAGAGCCCTCATCGTCAGGCACTAGGAAACTTCATCTTAGGAGGGAAAAGCCTCTGACGTGAAGAAAGGGAACATAGCATTCAGTCTCTAGCGTACAGGGACATGCTGGGCCCATCAGAGATTTAGCCCTTCCCCGCGCTCATCGATGAGGAGACTTGAGACTCAGAATTAGGGAATTTGGCCAACTCCATACAGCAAGTGTGTGGGGGTATCCCTCCTAGAAGTGAGGGGGACCACTCCAGGAAGCAGAATGCAGCAAGGACTTCCCAGACTGTATCGACTAGTCCACAGAGGGGGCCTGGGCACAGTGGAGAGGCAGAGGTGCAGGGAAGGCGGGCCCGGCAGCCCAGGGTATTTACCTGCATATGCACATCTAGGCGCCCAGTGGGTGCCTGCTAAAACTGAGATGGAATGATCAGCACCACAAAAGCAGCTTTCAGTAAATACAGGATGTTCTGCCCATCCCAAGTATCCATCAGGATGCAGGGTAAGAAGGCTCTGCCTGTTGTCATCTAGCCTGGACCATTCGTGCCCCTCCCACTTTCCCTGTTTTTCCCAGTCCCCCTCTAGAATCTTGCTCACCCATCTGTACTTTGTTCGTGTGAATGTTAACGCCAGAGAACGGTCTGTCAGATGCTCTTGTTTCCTCCAGGGGTAATATGTACAGTGTATCCCTTCTAATCCATGAGTGATGTGTGGCCGTTACCCCGTCCTTGTCACCGTGCTACTGATGTGTGCACAGAGGGCGAGCCAGTCATCTGCAGCCTCTTGTGTTTCTGGAATAGCTTTGTTGCTGTTGTGAATTAAAGAACTGTTTCCAGAATTTTTATCCATAACCTGGTTCTATTTGTTGAGCTGGAAACCACTGTGATTCATTGTTAATTGAATCTATGTTCCACGTATATTGAAATGGAGATTAAAACTGTATCTTGCTTAAAGCAGAGCGATTTACCAAAACACCATTTAGAGAAGGGCGGTTATTTCGTATCACCAACGATTCTTCATTTACAAGGACTTAAGAGTACGCCTCTGCAGTTTACGTATACTTAAACAGACCAAAATTGAGTTTATCGCTCAGCTGCAGGGCTCTTGTATAAAGCGCGGCTGTAATTACTTGTACTGGCTCGTGTTACGGAAATCGATCACTAACGAGGACCCGCTCTGAGGTGGTGGTGATGGTGATAGTGGCGAGGACACCAACCGAGCACTTTCCCTGTTGCGAGTACTTAATCACTCCACGTACACATCATTTTGTTTAATTCTCATGACAGCCCTAGGAAGTCTGAGGGACAGAAGGATTAAGTGACACCCCCCCCCAGAGTGACACAGCCAGAGGCCAAGCCAAGCGGCATCCCTCTAGAGATGCGTGTCCCACTCCGTGTTCTCCTTCACGACACCAGTCCTGCCTGATGGCTGTTTCGTGGTGTCCATTCGTGTGAGAGAACACTGCCGCCTTCAAGTGGCTAAGGACAGGGATACTTCTCAATAGAATTTGTTTTTCCAGACTAACTGGAAAATGGAAAGACTTCTTTCTTATTTCAGTCAGAGCCATGGAGTATTTCTATATAAAATCACGTAAGTGACACAAATTGGGAATAAAGGTAGACATCAACTGTCTATTACAGAGAGAAGGATGTTCACTGTTCTCCACGAGGAACTGTAGCCAGAGCAGGTCTCGTGCACATGGGTTAAGCTTGGGGGAGCCACGCAGCCGGCCGGGGCGGGGGGTGGTAGCCCCCCTATGACCGTGAGACTGCACGATCTAGCAGCAGTCTGCCCAGATCTCTCTTTCCAAGGGACTAGGTGAAACTTCCTCTCCAATCTGACTTAAACTAGACCATCTCTAGTGGCCGTGATGTGCTAACTGTGTCTAAAGATCTAAACCCCAGAAGCAGTTGTTACTCGTGCCCACAGCAACCAACCGGTGTTTCCTCTCGCGGAACTCGGACCATGCTATTGCTGTGTCCGCCTGGCCCACTCAGTGTTCTGATAGCAGTGACCGGAAATGTATTGTTACGGTGATATCCCCAGCACCTGGCACAGAGTATTTCCTACATGGATAAAATATCTCGGGGGGAAACATAGTCAATAGCCAAAGAAAAGCACTAACAGATAGACTTGGCGCCAACCAAGCAGATAACCTCCACCGGGGTCTTGCTCACTCCAGCCCTCCGTGTTCAGTCATTCAGACCGTCACTGCATAGCAGCCAAAAACTAGCACGAATGCCCTGAGAGCCAAACCCTGCTTATCCAGTTTGCTAAAGGCAGGAAAACACCCGCGGAACCCAGGGCATCTCTCCACAAGAGAGAGCCAAGATGGACATTTTGCTGAAAGTGGGTTTGTACCAGATGGTTCTGAGGAAGGAGTAAGCAAGTGGTGGCCACTTCTGAACTGTGCTGTCACAAAGCAAGGGCAGTTCAGCAACGAGGTATCTTCGTAATCTCGTTGGAGAAGGTGGGAGAGATTGAACTGGTCTGGGATATCGCTGGCAAGAGAGCAGCAGTCATTCAGGAGAGATGAGTAATCCACTGTAGTCTCTCCGTCCTCAAAACGGAACGTAGGATCCGCTGCCTTTGGAAATAACGCGTCCAGTTAGGACCAGTGCCTTCTGCCTGTCTGCATCAGACTCGAGTGTAATTCAGCCAGAGGCCGCCTTCGGACGGACAGTGTTTAAAATGACCAAGTACCTGGGGCTCCTAATACATTATATGTTAATAAAAATTTTAAAAAAATAAAATGGCCAGGTATTCTGATGATCTCATGATGAGTATTACAGCGGTGTTTTATAACAACTTCAGAAGTACTTGACGCTTTTCTCTGTTTTCCTGCAGAAATACTGCTGACCCTGAAGGTAGCTGGTTGCTTCTCTCTTCAGCTGACTGGGCTCACTTGCTCAAAACACGTACCAGCCTGGAGAGCTGTGTCTATTTGTTTTGACCCAATCGACCTGCCAGCCAGTTCTGCCAGAGCCAGGTCAGCAGATGGGCCTGGGCCCCGGCTCCCAGGGTGGAGTCCACTTGGTTGTTGCCGGAGGAGCGGCCTCTTCTCTTGACAGTCTGAAGCTCACGTCCAGACAGTTGCTCAGTCTGTTCACTGCATTCACCTTAGTGCAACTTAGATCTCTCCTGCAAAGTAAATGTCGACAGGCAAATTTCATACCCGTGTCAGATTGAATGTATTTAAATGTATGTATTTAAGGAAAACAACCCTGCTCTTGTTCTGTTCCTGTTTGGTTCCAGACACTGGTTTCTTGCTTTGTTTTCCCTGGCTTATCAGTCTAGTGCAAAAGATTAAGATTTCATCTCGGGGAAAGAAAAGAATTACACAAACAAACAAAAAAAATCAAACTAAAGGTGTTCTAAACTAAAGCCTGCATTTGGGATAAAAGCAGAGCAGACACCATGGACAGCGCTGTATGTACAGACACCCAAGGAGTGAAGACCGATAAAATCATAGTTGTATCTTTGTAGAAGTTCTAGAGACCATGTTGGGAAGAGTTTCCAGTTACCAACAGATGAAAGGGAGCCTGTGAGAGGGCTGTTAATAAGATCAAGTGCTTTTTCCTTTTTTTTTTCCTTTGTCAGAATCAAGCTAGTTCACCTAAATTGTGAATCGAGAAGAAACGTCATTCATTTCCAAACTAAGCTCCCTTTAGGCTGCTCAGACAGCTTTGACTCGCACCTCTTCTTCCCCTGTGTGATCCTGACCCTCCCTCCCCTCTCGGCCTTCCTCACCTCTCTCCTACATTCACTCATCTTGCTAGAAAAAAAATTTTAAAAGCAACAGAAACCAGGTAAGCCCTTTATTTCCTTAAATGTTTTGCCAGCCACTTAACAATTATTATTAACTTTTAGAAAAATGCATTTACTGGCAAGGAGAGGAGCAAAGTTAGGACTTGATACCAATCAAACTAAGGATACCTGCTTTGGAAGCATGTTTATTCTGTTCCCCAGCAACACTGGCCTACAAAAACAGGCAAAAATAACAGTGTGTTTAAAATTGACAGCAGATATCACAACAGATTGAACCTCCGCCATGTGTTTTTTATTTTGTTTTTTAGCAGTGCTGACTAAGCCGAAGTTTTGTAAGGTACATAAAATCCAATTTATATGTAAACAAGCAATAATTTAAGTTGAGAACTTAAGTGTTTTAATTGTATAATTTTTGTGAGGTATACATATTGTGGAATTGACTCAAAATTGAGGTACTTCAGTATTAAATTAGATATCTTCATAGCAATGTCTCCTAAAGGTGTTTTGTAAAGGATATCGATGCCTTGATTAGACCTAATTTGTAGACTTAAGACTTTTTATTTTCTAAACCTCGTGATTCTGCTCATAAATCATTTATCTATATGATATGCAGCCGCTGTAGGAACCAATTCTTGATTTTTATATGTTTATATTCTTTCTTAATGAACCTTAGAAAGACTACATGTTACTAAGCAGGCCACTTTTATGGTTGTTTTTCTTGCCCACTCTGGTAGGGGAATAATCTTTTATTAATTGGCATCAGTTTCAGACAACCGCAATACCGAGAAACTGATAGCCTTTTTTGAGCTATTTCCCCCCAACCCCTAATTCACATACTTTCTTACCTAAATTTCAGAATGATGTCTTTTTGATGTCTAAAAAGCAAAGCATTTTATATCTCATTAGCCAGGCTTTTTAGGAACAGAGAGGTTTTTCCTTGAAATTTGATTGTTCGTTTATTTGTGGCAGGGTGGAAAATGTACCAACTACCCCTATTTCTATCTCTCTCTCTATGGGCAAATAAGGGCGTATAGAAAGAGATCTAGCCCAAAGATAAATGGTTAAGTAGACAGTCTGAAAGTGTTGCTCCATACTAAAGAAATTTTCTGGAAATTTGCATTTCGATACCTTGTTCCACTTGAGAGGGGTCTCACTACAGGGAGGTGGCCAAGGAACAGCACTTCTCGGCGGCCACCAGTTCACGTGGCCCCTCGAGAGGCTCTGCTCGTCTCCACCGAACCACTGGGTTGCCCAGCAGAGATGGAAAAAAATGAGCAGATGTTGGCCCGGAACTCCGTGACCTCATCGGTGTGATGAGGCTCACATGACACAGTTTACTGTGACCGGTTTTAAGTTGATTTTTAGAAATATGTGAATCGGAATGACTTCAGCTTCACACAGCACAAAGGAGAAATGGAGTTTAAACTGGCTTTGTTTTGTTTTCAGTCCCTTTTCACCAGAACACTGTCCCAAAAAATATCTGTGTATCTTGTATCATTGACCCATCTGCCCACTGTCTTAATGTCCATCCCAATTCAGACAAATCTGCAAACCTGTGATACTGGTAATTTAGAGTAATTCATGATCATTACTGTTTTGAAGGAAAAGAGATGATAAATTCTCCTGTGGCTCAGACCAGGTAGTGGATTTTGCTTTACATCTAATTAAGAAAAGTCAGTGAAGGAATCCTCTGATCATATTGATCACTATAGAAGCAAAAGCCAAAATCAGTCCCCTTCATTATCAGTATTTCTCATGCTGTAAACAATAAATTTGTTAGACTGAGTACTTGGTTTTGTTTAATAGAACAAAATAATCAGTGTTTTACTTATATTACTAAATGTGAAAAACACATAATGTGAAAAGTATACATACATTAACTTGGTTGTAAAACTCATTTAAGTGTTCATGTAATGTGCTAAGTTTAACAAGTGAAGTGAGCTGTTTTACTACAATGAATTCGTTTGACTCAAAGACAAAATGCCCCTCCCACGTGTATCTCTTATGGCCTGTAATAACCGAAAGCAATGTTTTTGCAGTTTATATAATGCAATTTTTAATCTGTGTTTAAAAATGGAGTTCATATGGGCTTAACACATGAAATGGGTGGCACAGATCCACTTGCAGAACCCAAAGATACACAATCAATTTTGAAATGCAACTTAAGCCATTAATTGTTGGTGTGAATTTAAAATTTTCTAGTATTTGTATGGTAGTATGCTGCCTAAGAGCAAAGCATTCTCTGCACAAAAGAAAATTACTGTAGTGGCTTCGATTTTAATTAGAATTTTCTCCCTGGTGTTTCTTTATAGACTAAAACAAAATCTTTTAAGTTTCTTACTACAGGTAAAAGCTATGTGCAAGAACCTCAAAATGCTAAAATCTAGCATAATGCCTTAGATCTGTTTTTAAGTCTTGTATATTCCTACATAGCTGTCCAATGTATTATATTTGTATAGTGAATTGTGTACAATTTTTGAATAAGTGCATCATCACTTAACCTTTATGTTGTTGAATAGTGATGATGCTACATTTCTTCAAACATTTAACTGTCATTTTTGTTCCTTTGTCATTTGTGGGTTTTATTTGTACAGTTCCTCATGAAGTTGCATCTGAGATGTGTGTATATGAAAAGATTATACAAGGGTAAAATTAAGCAATATATTAACTATGGTTCTTCAGGAGAAAGCTTACAGTGTTTCAGGTTGTGATTTATTTTCAAAATGGAGTTGACTCTGAACATCACTTTGTTCACCTGCATTGATGTTTGTATTTCTAGTGTGAGCAGTTTATGCAAAGGTAGATATATTCAGAGAAATTTTAAATACATTTATGCAAGTTAATATTGCTTTGCTGATGCTGTTTGCTTATTTGATGTTAAATAATGCTATTGTAAATAAAGAATTCTGTTGTTATTGCATCATTTAATAAATTTTAATGCCTTCGGGTTTTACATGGCTTGGGCAATTTTAATGTGTTTATATTGTATTTTCATTCATAACTGCATTTAAATTTAAAATACCTGACCTGTAGTTTAATCATTTCTCACATTCAGACAGTAGTTGATGCTATTCCTGGCACTTTAATGTTTGATTCCCCTGCTGACCCATCTCACAGATTTTTTTTAACATTTTTTTTTTAAGATATTTATTTATTTACTTGACAGACAGAGATCACAAGTAGGCAGAGAGGCAGGCAGAGAGAAAGGTGGAAGCAGGCTCCTTGCTGAGCAGAGAGCCTGATACAGGGCTCGATCCCAGGACCCTGCGATCATGACCTGAGCCAAAGGCAGAGGCTTTAAAATTTGTTTTTTGGATTTTTTTTTTATATATCTTATTTATTTGACAGATCAGAAATAGGCAGAGCAGCAGGCGGGGGGGGGGGGGGACAGGCTCCCCACTGAGCAGAGAGCCGGATGCGGGGCTCGATCCCAGGACCCTGAAACCATGACCTCAGCCGAAGGCAGAGGCTTTAACCCACTGAGCCACCCAGGTGCCCCCATTTCACAGATTTTCACTTTGAAGCTGAGAGTTTATGTCTTAAGATTGTCTAGCAACTTAATGGCAAATACAGACTGAACGGAGGCCCAGTGAATCCCAGATGATGTCAACTGCTCTCCTCACCAGACTATCCACCTCTCATCCACATCTCTCCAAAAACATAAGAACAATGTGGACTTCTGACTGTTTATTTAGGTTATATGTTAGATTTTAGGATATTTGTGATGGTTTTTTTTTTTTTAAAGATTTTATTTATTTACTTGACAGAGATCACAAGTAGGCAGAGAGGCAGGCAGAGAGAGAGGAGGAAGCAGGCTCTCTGCTGAGCAGAGAGCCCAATGCAGGGCTTGATCCAGGACCCTGGGATCATGACCCGAGCCGAAGGCAGAGGCT